AAAATTGGATACTCCTTAGAGACATTTATAATTCTTATTGTTTGTAGTATTTGTATATAATGTTATTATAAAATGTTAACTAAATATCCTAAAATACCGTATTTCATACCAGTTGTCATTTTAACGTTCTTCTATAATCATTCTTATAGCCAGAATTCATAACCATAGTTGGATCTTAAAATACAGCTTTGGAAAAAAATCAAAGATCTGCTGCCGTAGGTTATGTTCTAAATTGATGAGTAAAGTCACTTTAAGATGATCCTAGTAGTTCCTATAGAACAATGCCTGGTTTGGGTTAAAAATTAGAGCCAAAATTTCAAAAAGTTGCTTCTGTGCTTTTTCCTCTGGATTTAAGAGGCAATAAAATCCTTAATTGACCTACTATAATATTAATATAAAATAAAATAATTCTGCTTACTTATAACAGTGTATATATAGACAGGGTCTGAATTTAGGGAACATGACTTTCAATTAGAGCTAACCATTCAGAATGGAGTCAAGTGACATTGTGAGGAACCTTGCCAAATGAGGCTGAGCCATGTTCCAATTGCAGAATTACAATGCTATGGCTAATAGGGTTGAGTTTGTGAGCTTTATCTCCTTTTGAATGTTTGAATAATAACTCTTCTTTTCACCGGAAGAGAAAACGATTTAAAAGTATTGTTACGTCAGTGAAGTTGAAAAAATCACTTGTCACTTCCTTCACCATTCTCAGTCTGTAGGCCCATCCACTTCAATACCACATTCTACAGATAAAGCAATTTAAATTTGGAGAAAGAAAAATACTTTTCTTTAGGGTCAAGGGACACTTGCTCTCCCCTCAAAAGAAAGGCAAATCTAATATATTCAAATAAAGAAAATTTTACAATCCAATATGTAAATAATAAGCTATCCAAATAAACTAGAAAATAATTGGAAATTTATGTTTATAGGCTCATAACAGGATGCTCAAAATCATGAGGTGAAAGAAAGACTCTAGAATTCTTATTTTAGTTTACATAAACTGGAAAACCTGCTAGTTTGCTTAATTTGATGACTTTTTGTATGTGAGATGAACTTCAGATTTATAAACCAACTTTATATATGCATATCACTTACTAAGAAACATCAGAAGGTTTATTTTTCTTATAGGATAGCTTTGTTAGTTGACCTGCATTTATTTGCTTATTTTTAAATTTTATTTATTCTGGATATAGATATAATTAGTCTTTTAATCAATTCCTCTGTTGAATACAGTGTCATGACCTCCTTAGATCAACAGCAAATTTTAACCATGACTATATAACTTTAGTAATATTTAAGAGGAAAGTTCCACATATTTCCAATAAAGTCATATTTTAAAAAGATACCAGTGAATGTTTTCAATTATTTTACAGATCTTATTTTTTTCATAGTTAATTAAATGAAATGAGTTTTTAAATCATGATATGGATATACTGTGAATTAAATAAAATTCTCAAGTATCATGTTTAGAGGAAAATTATAGGAATGAACATTTTACGGAACTAAGTAAAATAAATGTGGTAGGTATGTATTAGTTTAGTTATAGTAACAACTATCACAGCTAGTATTTTCCAATATTTATGGCATGCTTACTGGAGCACTCCATATATCTAATCCCATAGAATATTTAAAACAACATTAGGAGTTGGAATCTATTACTGTCCCCATTTATGTATAACAAATATACTCATCTTGCCTAAGGGCACATAGCTAATACATGTTAAAACAAAGATTAAAACTCAGGCTGTGAAATGACAAAGCTTTAGGTCTGAGAAATTATTTCTATTTCTCCCCATATTTTTCCTCTCAAGATAAAATACTTTATTAAAATAATTTTTGGAAGATAGACACCAGTACATTTCTTTTTACAATTTATGTCTTTTAAATATAAACTTTATTAATTAAAAATTCATGAAGAATAATATTTTCCTCATGATAATTTCTTGTTAATGTAAGGCTGAAAGAAGTAACTTAGATTACTTGTATATTCATTTTAGACTCTACTTACCTAAGAGATATTAAATATTACTCTGTGTGGAAGATTTTCTTATACCAGACTATAAACACAGGGGTCATAAAATACACAATAGACACATTTTACTCAATAGAAAACAAAAATAAGCGGATGAATAGGCAATATGCAGAACAAGTTTGTAAGATCAAAAGGCATAAAAAATGATATTCCTATTAGTTATTTAATAAGAAAAGAATGCCAACTATTTGCCAATTTGATTCAACATTGTAGTGGAAGTCCTTTTCAGAACAATTAGGCAAGAAAAAGAAATAAAAAGCATCCAAATTGGAAAGGAAGAAGTTAAATTGCCTCCGCAGATAACATGATCTTATGGATAGAAAACTCTAAAGACTGAACAGAAAAAAAATCAAAATTTGTTATAACTAAAAAAATTAAGTCAATAAAGCTGAAAGATATAAAATAAAATTAAAAAAAACTTCAGTAGTATTTGTATGCACTAATTATGAGCTATTCAAAAAATGAATGAAAAATTCCATTTACAAGAGCATCAAAAATATTTAGAAACTGGGGCAGTGCCCGTGGTTCAAGGAGTGGGGCGCCAGACCCATATGCTAAGGATAACAGGTTCAAACCCGGCCTCGGCCAAAAAACTGCAAAAAAGAATAAAGAAAAATGTGTGTGTACATATATATATATATATATGTATATATATATATTTAGAAATAATTTTAACAAAAGGGGTAAAATATCAATAGCTAAAAGCTAAAAACATTGTTGAGAAAAATTGAAGGAGGAACAAATAAATGGAAAGTTATTCTGTGTTCAAGAATTTGAGGAATTAGTATTGTTAAAAATGTCCATACAACACAAAATGATCTACAAATTCAATTTAATCCCTATCAAATCTCCAGTGATATTCTTACAGAAATAGAAAAAAAAAAAATACCAAAATTCTTAAGAAACCACAAAGGACTATGAAGCAAAGAAATCTTAAACAAAAATAAGGAAGCAGGTGGTGTCATAATACTGATCTCAGAATATACTTCAAAGCTCTAGCAATCAAAGCAGCATGATACTCACACAAAAACAGCTGGTATAGACCAATGACACTTAGAAAGAACATGGAAATAAATGTACATATGCACAGTCAGTTTATCTATGACCTGTGGTTGTCCCAAAAATGCACAATGGAGAAAATATAATGTCTCAAATAAATGGTATTAGATAAACTTATTCACATGTACAAAAATGAAATTGGACATTTATCTTACCCCATATACAAATGTTATCTCAAAAATGGAGGAAAGACTGAAATGTAAAACATGAAACTATAAAATTACTAGAAGAGAACATAAGAGAAAAGCTTCTTGACCTTGGTATTGCTAAAGATTTTTGAGTAGGATCCCCAAAACATTATAAAACAACCAAAGACAAATTAAGTCATATGTGCAATAAAGGACAACAAACACAGTGAAAAGACAACTTACAGAAAGACTGAAAATATTTGCAAACATTGATCTCATATGTAGTTAATATTAAAAACACGTAAGACTCTAAAACAACTCAGTATCATGAAAACAACCCAACTGAAATTTGGGGTAGGGGGCAAAAGCCCTTAATAGGCATCTGTCAAAAAAAGAAATACAAGTGGCCAACAGCTTTATGAAGAAATGCACCAACACTAATTGTCAGAGATTCTTACTCTTAACACTTTAAAATTCTGTTTAATTTTATTTTTTATCAGTATTTAGTAATTTATGAAGTAACACTTTCATAGGCCTTGGTGGCTAAATTTTCTATCAAAAATCTTTGGATAATAAGTTATTAACCTTTTCATATATCATAACCAGTCACCTTTCCTTCATGACAAATAATTCTACGTTGCTTAACCTTTAAATGGACACGTTTTAAAACGTCATTGGTTTGGTAATCTCTCCACGTTATTCAGATATTTCTTAGAATGAGAAAATTCATAAAAATTCTAGTGGAATCCTAATTTGCAAATTACAGAGATAAAAATAGTTAAATCTTTATTTAAACTTTTAGATTTGTTCAATTTTTATTACTATTTAAAATTTGTTGTCTTAGTAGACAGATAAAATTGTATTTACTGCATACAACATGACCTTTTTAAGTATGTGTGGGGTGGCTAATTCTAACTAATTAACATATGAATCACCTCACATAGTTTCATTTTTGTGGGCAGAACCCTCAACATCCACTCGCTAAGGATTTTTCAAAAATATAATATATCACCAATTATAGTCACTATGCTGTAAAATCTATCTCCTGAACTTGTTTCTCCTACCAAATCACATAATTTGGTTCAATTATTTTTAATTCAATTTGGCTTAAAGCAAAACAAAACTAACTTACCTACTGTCTTTATCTTGGCTTGGAAGTGAAACGTTCGTTCAACAACCATAAACATGGTTGTGGTTGCTTAAACTTCACAGAGGATGGTGTAGGTTTGTTTCTTACTTTGTCTTTTCTTTTTCTTTAATTCATATTCCCTTGAAAGTAGACTTTCTGAAAGTTGTTTAACTTCTCTTAATGACACCTATAATTGCTTATTTAAATCTATGAATGAAGCTTGAGATTATTTGAATCTATCTATGTAGCAGCAGCCTCTTTGGGTTCCTTTGAGTCTCCAATGATTGATCAGTTTTTTGTTTTTGTTTTTGTATCCACAGATTCAGTGTCAATATTATCTACATCCTCATTTAAATATACCTCTTTGAATTTTTCTAGGATCTTTTATTGCAATTTTCATATAACCAAATTAAGTATAATTATCTTCTATTTCTTCGATGGCACCTCCCTTAATTTTTCATACTGTCTTTCTTATATTTTCACAAATGTCTACCACGTCTTTTGCACTCTTCTTTGCTCCCTTTAAAAAAGAATTTGATTGATTCTTTAAAACCTCATTATCACTTACAATTTCAGCTTTAAACTTTTAAAATCATTTCATCAAATATATTTTTCAATTATTTGTTCAGTTTGAATTATTATATCATGTCTACTTTGTCTTCTTTTTACTCTTATCTCCACCCTTCTTACCCGTGGCCTTTGAATCACCAGATTCTGTGTCCGTATCTTTCTTGGTACTTTTCTTGGCATCTTTCTTTGAATCTTTCTTATCATCTTTTTTGGCATCTTTCTTGGTGCCAACCTTTGTTTCACTCGCTGTACCACCAGGTTTCTTTTCATCTTTTTTAGACCCCTTCTTTTCATCTTGCTTTGAATCTTTCTTGGCTACAGTACCTTTCTTTGAATCTTTACCCTTCTTTTCACCTTCAGATTCTGAAGCTGAATCTTTGCCCTTCTTTGGATCCTTTTTAACTGGTTTGTCATCCTTCTTTGAGCCTGGTTTTTTATCTTCAGATTCTGAAGTTGAGTCTTTACCCTTCTTTGTATCCTTTTTAA